AAATGTGATCCTGGGCGCGCCTACCCACCCTAGTGAGGCGCCGCCACTGCCTACTATCATGATCAACAACCGTCACCCAACAAGGGTGGTTGGCACGTCTAGAGCAGTAGTTGCCGCGGAGGTACTGAGCCCAAAGCGACTTTCCTTCCCTGAAGCGCCACCACAGCTTGTATGAGAAGGCTGTAACAATGTCCCTGAGGCGGCGGATGCCAAGCCCACCCTTGGGAATGGGGCGACAGATGGAGTCCCAACTCACCCAGTGGGTACGTCTCCCCCTCCCAGAACTGTCCTCGTAACCCCAGAAATAACGAGCCATAATCTGGTCTATCTCATCAAGAGTAGACCTAGGGGGGTCGAGGACCATAAGCAAGTGAATCGGAAGAGAGCTAAGAGTGCTCTTGATCAGCGCAAGCCGACCACCGAAAGAAAGATGTCTATGCGACCAACCAGAGATCCTGTCGATCATCCTCTGCCTGACGCCCGCAAAGAGCGCTCTTGTGAGGTTGCCCTTATATAAAGGGACGCCAAGGTAGGTAATCGGAAGGTCGCCACGCGCAAAGCCAGTAATGTCGTGGACCCGCTGAGCCCACGTGGCCGCGGTGGAAGAGGAGAGGGTGAATGTGCTCTTCTGCACACTGACCAGCTGACCGATGCCATAGTGCTCCAAAAGACGCATGAGCTCGACCAGTCCATCATCATCCGCCCGGGTGAAGATCATGATGTCATCCGCGTAAGAAAGGTGAGAGATGAGAGGACCATAGCCACGGGTGCTATACGTCATATGAGGAAAGTCGCAGATGAAACCGTCAAGGCAGCGAGAGAGGTAGTCCGCCGCAAGGATGAAAAGGGAGGGGGACAGGGGGTCTCCCTGTCTAAGGCCTCTAGATGAGGGAAAGAAATCGGTGGGGCTGCCATTGACCAGGACCGAGAACGTGCAGTGCTCCACGCACGCCTCGACAAAACTGATCCAACGGTTAGGAAATCCCATCCTAGCCAGGGCCTCCCTAAGATACGGCCACTCTACCCTATCATACGCCTTAGCCATATCTAGCTTCAGCGCGATATTCGGAGCCCGCTTCCAATCTGCACGGGAGATGTCGTGGATCATCTCCTGGGCCAAAAGGATGTTATCACTAATGACCCGATCCTTGACGAATCCACTTTGGTTCGGAGAGATGAGAGAGGGGAGAAGGGGGGAAAGACGACCGTTAAGGATCTTCAAAATGAGCTTGTTGGTCACGTTACACAGGCTGATGGGCCTGTAATTGGACCAAGAGCTTGGGTTGGGTCTTTTGGGGATCAAGACGACAGAGGTAGACGTGAAGGAATCCGGCATCCGGTGGTCGGAGAAAAAATCCAACATCGCCTCCTGGACGTCAGTCTCAATTAGATCCCAGCAGACCTGATAAAAGAGGGAAGAGAAACCATCTGGGCCAGAAACGTTGTTGGGATCAATCCCGAATACAGCATCCCAAACCTCCTCCCTACTCGGGAGCTCACAGAGGCCAATGAGATCGACCGAAGGAGGGATGGTGGGGAAAAGAGAAGCGGTCGGGGCCACAAGGGACCCTCTGTCCGAGGTGAAGAGGGTCTGGAAGTGAGCAACAGCCGACTCCCGGATCTGAGCCTCCTGGGTCAAGGATGACCCATCAGCCTCGATACTATGGATGTACGACTTAGCACGCTTCTGCCTAACGTAGCCCTGGAAGAACCTAGTATTCTGCTCGCCCTCGGCCACCCAGCGAACGGCCGCCTTCTGCTTCCAGAAGTCCTCCTCCATGAGAAGTCGGAGCTGGTACTCGGCGTGGCAGCGGTGCATGGCAGTCCTATTCTCCGGAGTGGGGTCCAGATCATAGGCCCGCTCAGCCGTCGCGTGCGCACTCTGAGCCGCAGCAAGGCGCTGATGAAGGTTTCCGAAAACATCCCTGTTCTACTGTCTCAACCGACGCCGCAGTCTGTCGAGCTTTGCCTCGAGATTGCGCATCCCGAAGAGCCCAGTCGGCTGAAGCCAGGAATCCCTGACAGTGTTGTGGAAGGAGTGGTGGCTAACCCACATGTTCTGGAACCTAAATGAAGATCGGCGGGGGGTGCTCGAAAATCGGCACCGGATGAGAAGGGGTGAATGGTCAGACTCGAATCGAGTAAGGTGTGTGACGGTCGTAACCGCAAACATCTTCGCCCACGCCTCAGAAACCAAGGCGCGGCCTAACCTCTCTTTGAGTCCGTCCCTCACCCACGTGAAGGGCTCACCATCACATCCAGTGTCAATTAACTCGCAGTCCGCCACCGCTTGAGCAAAATCCCACATCTCCCGTGACCGGTCCGTGCGGCCACTCACACGCTCATCGGGATGCAGAAAGATGTTGAAATCGCCACTAACCATCCATGGCAATCCCTCCATACTCTCGGCAATCTCACGCAGGGTGTCCCAAAGGTCATATCTGGGCTCCGAGAGGTGGGCAGCGGAAATCTCTACGTGAAGCACCTGATCAGTGTCGCGGAGGACCCGACAAGTGTAGTCACGCGAGTGGAAAAACCAGATCTTGTGCGAAATATTACCCACGCCCGAGTGGAAGCCAAGGCGACGCGAGTAGTAGTCAAAAGAAGGAGTGCGAATCATCGGCTCAATAAAGCCAACAAAATCGACTCTGTGATCACGAATGAGAGAATGAAGGTGAGAGAGAGTAGCCCTGTTCGCCAGGCCACGACCATTCCAAGTAATGGATGTGATGGACATATCAACGGTCGCTAGAGCCACCGGACGTAGTCCGCCTATGGCGAGGCTGATTCGGGCCACCTAAAGAAGGGGAGATCGTTCGTCGTGTCGTGCGGCGGAAGGATCCAATAGCAGGGGATTTCGTCCGCCGTGTCGTGCGCTGCGTGGCTCTGGTCCTCGAGGTTTGTTTGCCTCGGTATGTACTCGTGGCCTGTAAGTCGTCTGGCTGGCCAGACTGACCTATAGCAGCACTAGCGGGTTGCCCCATCACCGGGGCTGTCTCCTGTCTGTCAAAGTGAAGAAATGCACGAAGCTCTCGTGCGAGACGTCATGCTGCGCGCGGTTAAGCCCGCATATCTGCTCCGGGATGGGTGAAAGAGAGGGTCCAGCAGGCGGAGCACTCGGGTGCTCGCCGCTAGGAGGAGGCTGGGAGCTGGCTATAAGATCGACCGAGCTCCCAATCTCAGCAGGGGGGGATGGGCCGACTCATCCCCTTTCGGGGGAGTGGTGGCGGCAGTAGCCCTCAAATTCGAAGATCGGACCGGGATATATGCGCGCACGGTCAAAGGACCGGCATCGCGCGCACTGTCATCGGATAGGTGGATGGACTCTCCCCTGAGCGTGGCGTCCGGCTGGTCCATGTCGTCTCCAAGGAGGTCATCGTCATCTAGAAGCGTAAGATCGGTAATCTTAGGTGGCCCGCTGGAGGAAGGGACAGCCTCCTTCTCTGCCTCTGGAGAGAGAATAGCGAAATACAAGTGGTTGGCCTTGAAGGCCGTCTGTAAAGTCTGTCTAGGGAGAAAGCCCGTGGACTTGGGCTTGGGCCCTACTAAGGCCAACTGCTTAGGCTGGTTAGGATGAGCATCCTTCACAGTTTGGGCAGTATCGACAATCACAGCCTTGCCCTTATCCTTAGACCCCTTCGGGGTCTCGGGCACGCGGAGAGGGCTTTTGCCCTTTCCCTTGGGGTCCCTCCTGCCAGTGGAGGGCCCTGGCTGAGCCGCACGATGGCGCTGCGGGAGAGTAGGCCGTGGCTTATTGCCACCAATGTAGCAATCAGCCGCGATGTGACCCACATGATCGCACAAGGTGCAGAACGCGGGTATCTTCTCATAGATCACCCGCTGAACAAGGGACTCTGAGCCCTGTTCAATCTCGATCTCATGGACGAGCTCATCTATCCGATCTATCTCGACGCAAAAACGCATCACGTTAGCCCTCGTCTGGAGGGCCGTCGGGGCGTCGATACGAATCGGCTGCCCGATACACTTAGCAAGTGTAGTGATGGCAGCACGGTCGTAAAGGTGAGGTGGGAGGTCGGGAAGACGGCACCACACGAGGACAACCGGCGCCTCCGTCTTTGGGTTAAACCCGACATAATATTTGGACACCCTAGTTGGGCATCCACACAAATGAATCGAGGTCTTAAGCCAGACCTCGTTATAGTCCTCGGGGAGGTGGAAAGACACTAGAAGGTGGTTGAAGTTGTACCACTTAGATGATACTCTACCCTTAAAACCCAATTTGCCTAATCCAGCAGATATATCTCGAGGGGCAGGGATAGCATATGAGAACTTAAAGACCAGGGTGTTAGCTAGCTTACATGCAAGAGCTGCAGATTCGGCTTTAGTGTATCGGGCCTTCACCTTGTTTCCCTCCGAGCGGATGATGGTTCCGCAGGCATGTTCGTATCCCCCGTCAAAGGCAAAATCCTTGGCCGCCGGACGCGGGGCGGCCGTGTGAACATTTTTCTTTCCCGTAACCACCTCCCGGAAAGAGAGTGGGCCCGTGGTTACGGCTGGAGGGGTCCCTGTTGTGGCGGGGTTGGCCGTGGTGGCACCCATTTGTGTTGCCTCGGTCGGGGGGAGGCCGTTGAGTTGGCCCGCGGGTGCCGAGCTCGGCCTCGCAACAATCACACCGTTCTCTCGTATAAGCAAAGCGGCCGGTTCAGAGACTACGGCATTAGGTGTGGTTTTTCCGGCGGTTTGGTCGTTCGAAGAGTGTAAATATGGATGAGGGCCAAGAATTCCCGCCGTAGAACTCAAATTCGAAACCTCCCCTGATGGGTTGCCGGCCGGCTATGGTCTTCCGGGGGCTGTGCCGGCGCCGGCGAAGTTCAGGTGGTCGGTGAAAGTTGGTGGGCTGTCGACGGTGGATTGATGATGTTGAGTGGCGGATGGAGAAGGTTTTTTAGATGCGGGCTGGTGGTTAACAGAGGGCTGAGGGAGGAGGATTGAGTGGGTTGAAGAGAGATGGGCCTGAGAAAAGGTTGAGAGGGTCCAACAATCGGTAGGCCCAAAAAGGGGGAAATGTGAAGTATACTGGTGGGCTGAGGATTAGAGGAGGCGGGCTCATGAGTTGGGAGGGAATTAGGCCCAAATGGGATGAGATGGGTTGGCCAAGATGTGGACTTATCTTCCCGTGATTTGTCAGAATTGGTTCAACTTGTAAGAGAAGCTGAGGGTTTTTGTCTGCTGAGGCGCCGTTTCCCAGATTCGATCTCGGGTTGACCGCCGAAGGCATCTCCGACAGCGAGTCCTCTGAGGCGCCGTTTCCCATAATGAAGGTCGGGTTGACCGGCGAAGGCAAATCTGACGACGGAAGTTCCGACTGTAAACCTCCAAGAGCAGCCTCTGAAATTCCGGCGGAGGTCGTCTTCTCCAACGGCCCGAGCTTGCGCGATGGAGCATACGATCCGAACACGATCGATGGTTCGATGTGTCCATTTTTTTGGACGCTATTTTCTGCTTTCGGCCCAAGAGGGACCTCCAACCGGTCCGCTCCAGATTTAATATTTGAAGACGAGGGTTCTGGTGCTGGATGCGATTTGATTGTAGCACTTTCAACAATTTCACCCTCTTCTATGCTATCTTCTTTTTGTTTATTATTGGTGATATTTTTTCCGAGAAAGTCGGAGAGAATTTGACGAAATTCCGTCTGAGACATAAGGTTTTCCAAATCCGAAGCTTGGATTGAAAATGTTTGTTGTCTCTTGGCCGGAGAAGTTGTCGGGGAGGCCATATGTGGTCGAGAAAAGAGGTAAACGGACTAAAAATTAACTAGGTTAAAGGCTGAAAAATTAAATGAGTGTGTTTGGGTATGGTACGACAGGTAGATGATGACCGGGGGCCGGCCTGCGCCGGCGCCAGTTTACCGGTAGCCGGAAAACTGGACAAGACCGAATGTTTTGTTTTGAATTTGGTTGAATTTGTTTGATGGATTCTAGAGAGAAGGTAGAGAAAAGTTTTTAGAGAGAGAGGGAGCATGAGTTTTCTTTTTCTTTCTTGCTGCTACTCTGATGTTGCTAGGTTAGTTGTCTGTAGTTGCTAGGTTAGTTGTCTGTAGTTGCTAGGTTAGTTGTCTTTTGTTGCTATGCTAGGTTACTTGGCTTTTGTTGCTTGGTTATTTCTTTCTTGCTGCTAAGTTAACTGTCTTTTGTTGCTAGGTTAATTATCTTTAGCTGCTAGGTTAGTTGTGTTTTGTTGCTAGGTTAGTTCTCTGTTGTTGCTAGGTTAGTTATTTGTAGCTGCTAGGTTTTTTTTATTATTATCAAACAGCGCCCCGAAAGGGCGGGGGATTGGGCTGAATCCCCAACCTGTGCATAGATCAAGACCCCAAAACGGGGGCCCAAAATATCAACAGTCTACAGTCTACAGAGTCTCATAAGCAAAACAAAACAGAAAAAGAAGAAAATAACAGTACAAAGTCTGTCTTCGGGCTAACAGGTGCCCGACAATAAAAGTCTAATCAAATGAAAACAGTAAACCTAATCTACTGAAAGCGGAACGATGGATATCCAAGCTGGTCCATCCGTATAAGCGTGCGAAGGCGGAGTGGAGCAATGTCGGTCTGAAACGTATGTGGGTCTGGTATAGTGGCGCCAAGGCTGGCCAGGTAGTCAGCAGGTCTGTTCCCCTCTCGGAAAATATGTGTGATCCTGTGATGGACAGACCGAAGTAGAGCTCTGATGTCCATAAGCGGGTGTTGAATCTACCACGAGCCCTGGTGTCCCGAAGTCAGGAGGGTGGCGACAGCCGCAGCGTCCAGCTCGATCCAAATATGACTAGAAAGGAGGGCAGCAATCTGAATGCCAATCTGTAATGCCTGAATCTCTGCGTCGTAGCTCGAGGAGGCCTGAAGGGTCGCGTGGAAGGCGGTAAATGTGCAAATCGTGGGCCCATATTCTCAAACCTTTCTGATTTTATCAGATCTTATCATTTTTTCGAAGAAATCTTGGATTTTATAGGATATTTTTATTAAATTAAGGATCTCATCGAAAACTTACAGCAGCTTGCCAAACAAAAGCTAAGAGAAAAAAAAACACAGGTATGACTGGCATAACATCTACGATTAGATTCAAAAAAGCATAAGCTTCGGGCAATTTCCCGAAGAAAAAACTACTCGAATAATAAAGGGTAGAATTAAGACAGATCAAATTAACGATATTAAGCATAATAGACATTTTGTTCTCGAAGATAATTACATTTTGATTGAGTTTTTGATATTAAGAAAAAGGAAGAAAGTCAGTAAAGTAGACAAAAAATCCTTATTTTTCTTTGAACTCCCCCAATCAAAAAAAAAATCCTCCAATTCTCAAAGGAGAATAGAAGAAATCATACTTTTATAGAATATCTTAATTGAATTCTATGTAATGATCAATAAATTAAGTTGAATTCTATATTATATATATTCTAGAATTCTATATATTCTATATGATATGTATCAAAATCCATTCTGAAAAACCTTTTATTTACTTGCTTTTTTCTACGAGCTCGGGGAATCCCTTGTACCGCACCCCGAGTCATGTCATAACATAATGGGTCGATTTGTGTTTGAAGAAGACTATTTTAGTTGACTTTATGACTTTAGCACCTCCTTCTTTGTTTTTATTAGCCAAATTGAATTGGTCCGACTATGTTACTATTGCCATACTAGAGTTCAACGTCCTAAAATGGATCAATTTGATTCAAGCTCAAATAGAATCAAATTGGAATAAATATTAGCATTAAGAAGAGATATTAGCATAAGATAAGTAAGCGGGGAATAGAACGAACTATAAGTGCTATCCAAGCTGGTCCATCCGTACAAGAGTGCGAAGGCGGAGTGGAGCAGTGTCGGTCTGGAATGTATGTGTGCCTGGTATGGTGGCACCAAGGCTGGCAAGGTAGTCAGCAGGTCTGTTCCCCTCACGGAAAATATGCGTAATCCTGTGATGGACTGGCCGAAGTAGATCTCTAATGCGCATAAGCGGGTGCTGAATCTGCCACGAGCCCTGATGGCCCGAAGTCAGGAGGGTGGCGACAGCCGCAGCATCCAGCTCGATCCATATATGACTAGAGATGTGGGCAGCTATCTGAAGGCCAATCTGTAGTGCCTGAATCTTTGCGTCGTAGCTCGAGGAGGCCTGAATGGACGCGTGGAAGGCGGTGATGAGGGCGCCGCTATGGTCCCGAATCAAGCCTCCTCCTCCAGCAACTCCAGTGTGGCGATCGAAGGAACCATCAGTGTTCAGCTTGACCCACGGAGAGTCAGGTCGAAGCCAAACAACAGCTCTGGCCCGAGGAGTCCGAACAAGCGGTGGTGGGGCCACCATGTAACGATGCGGTGGCGTGCAGCCTGTCCAGTCTCGGGCCGTGAGCCTGCCCAATGAGATGAGGAGTGAAATGTGTCTCTCAACCTGCAAAACAATGTGAGAAGACATAAAAGTAATATCCCTATGCTTCGCACTATTCCTTTCTGTCCAGGTGAACCAAAGGATCAGACAAGGAATTGAGGAAGCCCACGTGTCTAAGGTGTGTGCTCTGTGAGAAAAAACTCAGGAGCTCAAAAAAACTGTATGTGGTGGGTAGGGATATATGAGTCCAAGTGGTAAAATTCTCCCACACTCTCCTCACAATCTCACTCTCTAGAAAAAGGTGGGTAAATGTCTCGGTCTCATGGCGTCCAGTCTCAGAACAACACACACACCGAGAGGGGAAGGAGATCCCCCTCGCGTGTAGCACAGTATCGACGGGTATCCGGCGCAAGAGGAGGCGCCAAAGGAATACCGAAATAGTAGGCGTAAAAAGGTCACTCCAGATAGCCCCGAAGAGGAGATTAGGCCGATCCCTCAGCCTTATCTGCTCCCAAGCCGAGGTAGTAGAAAACACACCTGATGATGTAAGTCTCCACCTCATGCTATCTGAACCGTCCCCCGAGATAGGGATCTGCTGGATCTGATCTAAAAACTGCTCGCTAAAACCCGCACCAGCCCCCAACTCGCTATCAAGCTTCCCCCTATCCCACGACCCGTCCGTCCAGAGGTCGCTCACGAGCAGGTAGGGGGAATGCGACACCTGCCTATCCCTAGACAACGGCCTATCACCTACCCACCACTCATCCCAGACACTGACATCGCCCCCGCCCAAAACCCAAAAGATGTGATCCTGGGCTCGCCTCCCGACCCTAGTGAGGCGCCGCCATTGTCTGCTATCATGGTCAACAGCCGTGACCCAACAAGGGTGGTTGGCACGTCTAGGGCAGTACTTGCCGCGAAGGTACTGAGCCCAAAGCGACTTTCCTTCCCTGAAGCGCCACAACAGCTTGTATGAGAAAGCTGTAACAATGTCCCTGAGGCGGCGGATGCCAAGGCCACCCTCGGGGAAGGGGCGACAGATAGAGTCCCAACTCACCCAGTGAGTACGTCTCCCCCTCCCAGACCCGTCCTCGTACCCCCAGAAATAACGAGCCATAATCTGGTTAAGCTCGTCAAGAGTAGACCTAGGGGGGTCGAGGACCATAAGCAAGTGAATCGGAAGAGAGGTAAGAGTGCTCTTGATCAGCGCTAGCCGACCACCGAAAGAAAGATATCTATGCGACCAACCAGAGATCCTGTCGACCATCCTCTGCCTGACGCCCGCAAAGAGCGCTCTCTTGAGGTTGCCCTTATATAAAGGGACCCCGAGGTAAGTAATGGGAAGGTCACCACGCGCAAAGCCAGTAATGTCGTGGACCTGCTGAGCCCACCTGTCCACGGTGGCAGATGAGAGGATGAAGGTGCTCTTCTGCACACTGACCAGCTGACCGGTGACCGAGCCATAGTGCTCCAAAAGGCGCATAAGCTCGACCAGTCCATCATCATCCGCCCGGGTGAAGATAATGATGTCATCCGCATAAGAGAGGTGAGAGACGGTAGGACCATAGCCACAGGTGCTATAGGTCATATGGGGGGAGTCGCGGATGAAGCCGTCAAGGCAGCGAGAGAGATAGTCCGCCGCTAGAACGAAGAGGGAAGGGGAAAGGGGATCGCCCTGTCTAAGGCCTCTAGAGGAGGGAAAGAAATCGGTGGGGCTGCCATTAATCAGGACCGAGAACGTGCAATGCTCCACACACGCCTCCACAAAGCTGATCCAGCGCTCAGGGAATCCCATCCTAGCCAACGCCTCCCTAAGAAACGGCCACTCAACCCTATCATACGCCTTAGCCATGTCTAGTTTCAGCGCGATATTCGGAGCCCGCTTCCAGTCCGCTCGGGAGATGTCGTGGATCATCTTCTGGGCCAGAAGGATGTTATCACTAATGACCCGATCCTTGACGAATCCACTCTGGTTCGGAGAGATGAGAGAGGGGAGAAGAGGGGAAAGGCGGCCGTTAAGAATCTTCGAAATGAGCTTGTTGGTCACGTTACACAGGCTGATGGGCCTGTAATCGGACCAAGAGCTCGGATTGGGTCGTTTGGGGATCAAGACGACAGAGGTAGACGTGAAGGAATCCGGCATCCGGTGGCCGGAGAAAAAGTCCAACATCGCCTCCTGGACGTCAGTCTCGACAATATCCCAGCAGACCTGATAGAAGAGGGAGGAGAAACCATCCGGGCCAGAAACGCTGTTGGGATCAATCCCGAATACAGCATCCCTAACCTCCTCCCTGCTCGGGAGCTCACAGAGGCCAATGAGATCGACCGAAGGAGGGATGGTGGGGAAAAAAGAAGCGTTCGGGGCCACGAGGGACCCTCTGTCAGAGGTGAAGAGGGTCTGGAAGTGAGCGACAGCCGACTCCCGAATCTGAGCCTCCTGGGTCAAGGATGACCCATTAGCCTCGATGCTATGGATGTACGACTTAGCACGCTTCTGCCTAACGTAGCCCTGGAAGAACCTAGTATTCCGTTCGCCCTCGGCCACCCAGCGAACGGCCGCCTTCTGCTTCCAGAAGTCCTTCTCCATAAGGAGTCGGAGCTGGTACTCGGCGTGGCAGCGGTGCATGGCGGTCCTATTCTCCGGAGTGGGATCCAGGTCATAGGCCCGCTCAGCCGACGCATGCGCACTCTGAGCTGCAGTAAGGCGGTGATGAAGGTTCCCAAAAACATCCCAGTTCCACTGTCTCAACCGACGCCGCAGTCTGCCGAGTTTCGCCTCGAGATTGCGCATCCCGAAGAGCCCAGTCGGCTGAAGCCAGGAATCCCTGACAGTGTCGTGGAAGGAGTGGTGGCGAACCCACATGTTTTGGAATCTAAAGGAAGTGCGGCGAGGAGTGCTCGAAAAACGACATCTAATGAGGAGGGGTGAATGGTCAGACCCAAATCGAGTGAGGTGCGTGACGGTCGTGACCGCAAACACCTTCGACCACGCTTCAGAAATCAAAGCACGGTCGAGCCTCTCCTTGAGGTCGTCCCTAACCCACGTGAAGGGCTCACCCTCGCATCCAGCATCAAGCAACTCACAGTCCGCCACAGTCTGCGCAAAATCCCACATCTCTCGGGATCTGTCCGTGCGGCCACCCACGCGCTCATCGGGGTGCAGAAAGATGTTGAAATCGCCACTAACCATCCATGGCAATCCCTCCATACTCTCAGCAATCTCACGCAGGGTGTCCCAAAGGTCATATCGCCCAACCCTAGTACACTTGGCGTAAACCAAGGTGTGAAAGATGGACTCCGGGAGGTGGTCAGCGGAAATCTCTACATGAAGCACCTGATCGGTGTCGCGGAGGACCCGACAAGTGTAGTCATGCGAGTGGAAAAACCAGATCTTGTGTGAAGTATTACCCACGCCCGAGTGAAATCCCAGACGACGCGAGTAGTAGTCAAGAGAAGGAGTGCGAATCATCGGCTCAATAAAGCCAACAAAATCGACTCTGTGGTCACGGATGAGAGAATAGAGGTGAGAAAGAGTAGCCCTGTTCGCCAGGCCACGGTCATTCCAAGTAATGGATGTGATGGACATATCAACGGTCGCAAGAGCCACCGGACGTAGTCCGCCTATGGCGAGGCTGATTCGGGTCACCTAAAGAATGGGAAGTCGTCCGTCGTGTCGTGCGGCGGAAGGGTCCAATAGCAGGGGAGATCGTTCGCCGTCTCGTGTGCTGCATGGCTCTAGTCCTCGAGGTCTGTCTGCCTCGGTATGTACTCGTGGCCTGTGAGTCGTCTGGCTGGACAGACTGACCTATAGCAGCACTAGCGGGTTGCCCCATCTCCGGGGCTGTCTCCTGTCTGTCAAGGTGGAGGAATGCACTAGAGGCGAAGCTCTCGCACGAGACGTCATGCTGCGCGCGGTTGAGCCCGCATATCTGCTCAGGGATGGGTGAAAGAGAGGGTCCAACAGGCAGGGCACTCGGGTGCTCGCCGGTAAGAGGAGATTGGTAGCTGGCTATCGGCTCAACCGAGCTCCGAATCGCAGCAGTGGGGGGATGGGCCGACTCATCCCCTTTCGGGGGAACGGTGGCGGCAGTAGCCCTCGAATCCGAAGATCGGACCAGGCTAGATGCGCGGACGGTCGAAGGGCCGGCATCGCACGCACTATCATCAGATAGATGTATGGACTCTCTCCTGGGCGTGCCGTCCGGCTGGTCCATGTCGTCTCCAAGGAGGTCATCGTCATCCAGAAGCGTAAGATCGGTAATCTTAGGTGGCCTGCTGGAGGAAGGAACAGACTCCTTCTCTGTCTCAGGGGATAGAATAGCAAAATAGGAGTGGTTGGCCTTGAAGGCCGTCTGTAAGGCCTGTCTAGGGAGAAAGCCCGTGGACTTGGGCTTGGGACCCACTAAGGCTAACTGCTTAGGCTGGTTAGGATGGGCATCCTTCCCAGTTTGGGCAGTATCGACAATCACAGCCTTGCCCTTATCCTTAGACCCCTTCGGGGTCTCGGGCTCGCGAAGAGGGCTTTTGCCCTTTCCCTTTGAGTCCCTCCGGCTGGTGGAGGGCCCCCGCTGAGTCGCGCGGTGGCGCTGCAGGATAGCGGGCCGTGGCTTATTGCCACTGATGTAGCAATCGGCCGCAACATGACCCACGTGGCTGCACGCGATGCAGAACGCGGGGATCTTCTCATAGATCACCCGCTGAACAAGAGACTCCGAACCCTGTTCAATCTCAATCTCATGAACGAGCTCAGCTCTCAGATCTATCTCGACGCAAAATCGCGCCACGTTAGCCCTCGTCTGAAGGGCCGTCGGGGCGTCGATACGAATCGGCTGCCCAATACACTTAGCTAGTGTAGTGATGGCAGCACGATCGTAAAGATGGGGTGGTAGGCCGGGAAGGCGGCACCACACGGGGACAACCGGCGCCTCCGTCTTCGGGTTAAACCCGGCATAATATTTGAACACCCTAGCTGGGCATCCACACAAATGAATGGAGGTCTTAAGCCAGACCTCGTTATAGTCCTCGGGAAGGTGAAACGAGACTAGAAGGTGGTTGAAATTGTACCACTTCGACGACACTCTACCCTTAAAACCCAGTTTTCCTAACCCAGCAGATATATCTCGGGGAGCGGGGATAGCATATGAAAACTTAAAGACCAGGGTGTTAGCCAGCTTACCTGCAAGAGCGACAGATTCGGCTTCAGTGTATCTGGCCTTCACTTTGTTCCCCTCCGAGCGGATAATGGTCCCGCAAGCGTGCTCATAATTCCCGTCAAAAGAAAAATCCTTTGGTGACGGACTAGGGGCGCCCTTGTCGCCATTTTTCTTCCCCGTGATGACTTCTCTGAAAGAAAGCGGGCCCGTGGAGATGGTCGGAGGGGGCCCAGCTGCAGCGGGGTTGGCCTTTGAGGGG